CTTTGAGAAAGCGTGCCGCAAATAAATGGTACAGGCAGGACTCCAACCCAGGCAGTCTATCAACTGCCATATTCCAGTTCCTCCTAACTCCCACCCGGAGAGAGAATGGAGCATTCAGGTGGGGCCTGCCGTGGACAGAACCCCCTGCACAGAAGGACTCTGCCTGACCCCGATTTTTCCTGAGTTCTCTCTGTGGCAAGGAGCTTTGCTCATTTCCGCTGTGCTCAAATTGGCTTTTGATTATTTTATCCACACCAAATGCCAGCCACAGCCCAGACTGTACTCATTACAGGCTATCACATCTCCCACCAGCTGTTTACAAGAAGGGTTCTGCTTGGCCTCGGCTGCTTTTAGGTGAAGTCATCTCGGGAGAAGTGAAGAACCACAGAAATACAGCTTTGAAAAGTGACAAGCATGGCAAGCATTCATTTCCCGGTCACACAAGCTTTACTCTCTTAATATCTGTTAGCTGGAAATAAGAGCAGCGATAGAAAGTACTTCCCTAGAAGTACAACTGTCTACGAACAACAGCCAAGCACGCCTACTCATGTTTTCATTACAAACTAGATTTGGAGGGGCATGTGGCTATGGATGGAACCCGGGACCAAGACATTTATCAACAAGCAATTTATGTTATACAGACTTGGAAAGTGCCCTGTGTGTGAGTGTCATTTCCCAAATATAATCACACAAAACTGAATGAATGGAAGACGTGGTTTTTCAATACATAGCTTTTGTGAATCAAAGGATTAGGAAAGACTAAAGTGTAGATTCCGTTGCAAGCTTTATGATGGCTCTGTGTGCATGCGTCGTGTGTGTGTGTGTGTGTGTGTGTGTGTGTGTGTGTGTGTGTGCGTGTGTGTGTGTGTGTGTGTGTGTGTGTGTGTGTGTTCAGAGTTTAATACTGGGTATCTTTCTCAATCATCAATCACTTTTCACCATATTTCTTAAGGCAAGGCTTCTCACTGACCCTGTAGCTCACAGACTCAGCTAGACTAGCTGTCTAAGAAGCTTCAGAGACCTGTCCCAGTCTGTCCAGCCCTGGGATTACAGGGGTGTGTTTCTGTGCCAGGGTTTTCCACATGGGTGCTGGGGATGCACACTTAGGTCTTCACACCTTTTATGGTGGCTTTTAGATGGTGGATTTCCAGACAGTCGAAATAGTGACACCACAGAGCCAATAAAAGTCTTTCTGAGGAGAAGACCAAACAAGATGAGAGCTTGTAGCTGACAGAGGGGCAGAGAGAAACACTGTCAGGGAAAAGGGAACTTCTCATCTCATGAAAATAAGAAATAAAGTGAAAGTCTCCTCATTGTGGGGAGATGACAGACTTACTAGGACTCGGTGTTTGACTGTGAGTTCTGAGCAACGGAAACAGGAAGGAAGTGGTTGTGTATGCATCTGACTTCTTAGGAAACCTGTGGATGGGGCACAGGCGAGGCCCAGTCTCCTCCTGCCTAAAGCTCTTCCTCAGGGAATCTTGAAACATACTGAATTTTCCGTAAAAGAAATGAGAATTTCCACCACTCAATGGTTAAAAACAAATGACCACGGCCCAAATAGAAGGCTATGGGATGCAGGAACCTGTCTGGTCTCTTTTGTGAGAACCTGGAGCTCAAAACCTGCTTGGGGAAGATTGGCTGAACAAACCCTGCTGGGCCTGATTACTAAGAGCAGCCAGAGAAATAATTAGGAGTTTTTTCTACTCTTCATTTGAACAACGATGACAGAAAAGGACAAGGAGGGGGGAGGGGCAAGAGGGGCAGGTGGGGGAGCAGGAGAATGAGAAGACAGGGATCACTCCTCACCTGTTATGACAACTGACTTATTTTTGTTCCTATCTATTTCGTTATTTGTGACTTCTTGCAAGAAAGATGTTAGATGATTATGATGAAATAGCCATGTGCTTCTTGTGGTGTGTGTGTGTGTGTGTGTGTGTGTGTGTGTGAGAGAGAGAGAGAGAGAGAGAGAGAGAGAGAGAGAGAGAGAGAGAGAGAGAGAGAGAGAGAGAGTTCTGATTGACATGGCTCTATCGGGTCATGCAGCCAAGTGTGTGTTTCAGGCTGACTTTAATTCCTTCTTTGGCTCTGCTGAAGTGGCTTTCCACTTCTCCTGAGTCAGCAGTAAGTATTTGGAATTAGAAGGAGAAGGATTAGCTCACAAACAAAACAGCCCATCCCCACCTAATAACACAGCTTAGTAATAACAGTAGTAAGACAATCTGGGAAGGCCACTCCCCTTCAGAAATCTCAGGACATCTAAATTGGGAGTTGGTAATCTTGTAAACAAATTCAAATTACCTTCCAGAAAAACCCCAAACTACTTGCTCGAGATGGTTTTTGGCTAGAAGACATGAATCCAGATCAAAATCAAAAGCCACATAAATACTAAAATAGCCAAAACAGAGACACAGTCATTATAGGAAACTCAGGAAGCTTCAAAGAGGGTTAAAAAAAAAAAAAAAAGGAAAAGCTGCAGCCAGAGGCACTGCGGGCATTGCCCGTCTGTACCGGAAGTGTCGACATCCTCTGCAGAGGAAGAGGAAGGAGTTAGAGGTGCCAGACAAGCAGCTGGACAATGACAAAACAGGAAACAGGACTGCTGAGGACAGTACACTGCAAACCAGGAAGAGCAAAACATCAAAGCCACGGGGGCGCTGAAGACTCGGGCAAAGACAAAGTGAAAGCCACAAGGTTCAGAATCAACTTGAGCCACATATACATGGGCTAGTGGGTAGCCATGTCTCCATTTTCCTGTTGAAATGATCCACAAAGAGGCGGAGTCCCATTGTGATCATTCCAGGAATAGACTATTGTATTTTGTATTGGATCAAACGTTGCTTTGAAGAGTCATTCAAATGTGAGCGAACGCTGTTGTCCTTGTCTCAGCATGGTGCTGGTTAATGGTTACAGGCAATAGTGTGTTTGTTCATGGCACTTACAGAAAATATAATGTAATACCGATGTTAAAGGGCCAAGACAGAACACGATGTAAGAAATGAATTTAGCAGTTTTCCCACAGAGTCCGTGATCTAAGCCTACCAAATCACTCCATCTTGCCTATGCACCCCCCATAGAGTTGTTAGATGGATATGCGACATTCTCCTGAACATACTTCTGTCTCATTTCTATTTACATCTGTTCCACTAACCAGGATCCCTGTCACTTTCCCTTGCCAACATTTTCAGGAAGACACAGCAGCTAAACACATAGAAATGGAGAGTCACCCAACAACCTGCAAAGTAGTGTAGGCTAATAAATCCTGGGATGGAGGAACACTGAGTGAAGTGGACCAGTACATAGAAGAGCCCTTCATCAGAGGAATAAACAGATGACCCCAGAGAACAGTTTCACTAAGCATCTTATAAAGTCAGTAACAAAATCCTTTGACCAGAAGAGGGGTGACCACCAAGCTATTACTTAAGAGTATAGCAATATTGGGGGGCAGACTATCTTACCAATAATCAAATGCAACTGTTACTAATGTTATTACTTAGCAACTTGATGTAGTTGGTTTACTTTCTATCACTGTGGTAAATGTCATGGCCAAAAGCAACTGGGGAAGAGTTTATTTAGCTTACTCTCCCATGTCACAGTCCATCATTGAGAGGTGTAATGTGTACTCTTCCTGCCAACCGCCTGGGTCCTAGTGCCACATCAGTCCCAAATGAACACACAAGATACTGTATTAATTATGAAGCTGTTGGCCAATTTCTTGGTTTCTTATTGGCTAGCTCTGACTTAATTATTAACCCATAACTGCTACTCTGAGTATTTCCACGTGGTCTTCTCTTACCAGAGAAAAGGGTCAGAACCTCTTACTCCTTTGGTGTCCTACATTGTGACTGACTGTGCCTCAGTTTCCCAGAATACTCCTCGACTCCTAGTCCCACCCATCTTGCTTCCCTATTGGCCAGCAGTGCTTTATTTATACCAATCAGACAAACACATACACAGAAAGACTTCCCTCATCAGTAAGGACAGGAATCTGGAGACAAGAATTGAAGCAGAGACCATGGAGGTCACCACTTACTGGCTTGATCTACATGGTACTTCAGATTGATTTCTTATACAACTCAGAACCACCTGCCTGGGGGCGGCACTGCCCACAATGTCCCAGGGCCTCACACGTCAAACATTAATCAAGAAAAAGCCCCCATAGACTTCCCTCCAGGTGGATCTGATGCAGGCATTTTCATCATTGAGTTTTCCAGCTCCAGATGACTCTAGATTGTGTCAAGTTAAACAAAAAAACAAAATGAAACAAAAAACCCAGCACAAGCTATTTATTTAAGGTCACATTACATATTTCAAATTTCTCTCAGTATTATTTTACCCGAGACCGATTTGGATTTTCCCCAGCTCTGTGTAACCTCACTGCTCAGTCATGTCCCTCAGGAACAGCTGAGTGGACAGGGTCGGAAGGTTCAGAATTCCAAATTCATGGAAAGGCTGACAAATACTCATGGGAAAGATCTACTTAAAGTGCCAAGGGGTTCACTCAGTGCACATTGCCATGTAAGAGACAAATCGGAGTGCACATTGCATGGCCACGGTGGAAGGACATTCGTAGTATTTGAAGAAAATCTAGAAATGTCTTAATATTTTTATGCTATTGTTCATGTCAAAATGCCTTCTGGAACAAGACAATTGAGGGCTGATCATCTGACAGCTTAGTTTCATGTAGAACCAAGATGTCTAGATGGCTATAATTTAATTTGATTTAAACTAAGAGGGTTCAGGTATATATACAATAAGATACTTGTCACATCATGTTACATTTTAGACAATAAAGTGATATAAATACTTAAAATATTTTTTAAAAACTCACCTAGAATGTAACTTTTTACTGAATCAGATAATATTATAATGGCATTATTTTTATTTTTGTTCAGTGTTCAGAATTGAACCCAGGGCCTAGTGCACACTTAGCAAACACCCTACCACTGAGCCATATCCCAGTTTGTGAGTCAATCTAAACATCACACATTCCCTTTGAGGGAGGGTACTCTATTTCTGGAGTTACTTCAATATCAGGTTGATTCAAGCAGCAGACAAAGCAAGTTCCTATCATATCTCCTATTTCCAATGAATGCATCTAATTATCCTTAGATAGAGGACATATCATTTATTAAACTGGTAAGAACAGATAACATTTTTTTCTCTTAGGAATATTACAGAGAAGTGACCCCAAATTGGCAAGCTCTTGTTTATTTGCTTGTGTTTTTCTTTTAAATTTGAATTAGAAACAAGTTTGTTTTACATGTCGATCCCAGTTCCCTCTGCCTCTCCTTCTCCTCTGCCCTCCACTAACCCCCCATCCCATTCCCTTTCTGCTCCCCAGGGAGGATGAGGCCATCCATGGGGGAATCTTCAAAGTCTATCATATCATTTGGAGCAGGGCTTAGGCCCTCCACCATGTGTCTAGGCTGAGAGAGGATCCCTCTATGTGGAGTGAGCTCCCAAAGTCCATTCATGTACTAGGGATACATACTGAACCACTACCAGAGGCCCCATAGATTAACCAGATCTCTAAATTGATATCCACGTTCAGGGGGTCTGAAACAGTCCTATGCTGGATTCCCAGCTATCAGTCTGGGGTCCATGAGCTACCCCTTGTTCAGGTCAGCTGTTTCTGTGGGTTTCTCCAGCCTGGTCTTGACCCCTTTGCTCATCTGTCCTCCCTCTCTGCAATTGGATTCCAGGAGTTCAGCTCAGTATTTAGCTGTGGGTGTCTGCATTTGCTTACATCCACTACTGGATGAAGACTCTAGGATGGCATATGAGGTAGACATCAATCTCATTATCAGAGAAGGACATTTAAGGTAGCCTCTTGACTATTGCTTAGATTGTTAGTTGGAGTCAACCTTATGGATCTCTGGACATTTCCCTAGTGCCAGATTTCTCTTTAAACCTATTATGGTATCTCTTTTCTTACTCTCCTCTATTCTCCTGACTAATTTTCCTGCTCCATCATGTCCTCCTCTCCCCCCTCCACTTCTCCCCTTCTCTTTCTCTTAACTCACTCTCCCCTCCTCCCATGCTTCCAATTAGCTCAGAAGATCTTGTCCCTTTCCCCTTCTCCAGGGGACCATGTATGTTCTTTTTAGGGTCCTCTTTGTTTCCTAGCTTCTCTGGTGGGCTGGTAATTTTTGCTCTATGTATAAAACCCATATATGAGTGAGTGCATACTATGTTTGTCTTTTTGTGACTGAGTTACCTCACTCAGGATGGTTTCTTCTAGTGACAGCCATTTGTCTGCAAATTTCAAGATTCCGTTGGTTTTTTTTTTCAGCTAAGTAGTACTCCATTGTGTAAATGTACCACATTTTCTCTTTCCATTCTTCAGCTGAGGTGCACCTAGGTTGCTTTCATGTTCTGGCTATTACAAATAATGCTGCTAAGAACACAGTGGAACAGGTCCTGTTGTATGAATGCACATGTTTTGGGTATATGCCTAAGAGTGGAATTGCTGGGTCGTGCATGTGGTAGACTGACTCCCATTATCCTGAAGAATCTCCATACTGATTTCCAAAGTGGTTGTATAAGTTGGCACTCCCACCAGCAGTGGAGGAGTGTTCCCCCTTCTCCACATCCTTTCCAGCATAAACTGTCATTGGTGGTTTTGATTTTAGCCATTCTGACAGAAGTGAGATGGTATCTCAGAGTTGTTTTGATTTGCATTTCCCTAATGGCTAACGATGTTTAGCATTTTCTTAAGTGTCTCTCATCCATGTTAGACTCCTCTATTGAGAATTCTCTATTTAGTTCTGTAGCCCACTTTTTAATTGGATCGTTCAGTGTTTTGGAGATTTGCTTCTTGAGTTCTTTGTGAATTTTGGAGATCATCCCTCTGTCAGATGTGGGGTTGGTGAATGCCTTTTTCCATTCTGTGGACTGCCTTTTTGTCTTGCTGGCTGTGTCCTTTGCCTTACAGAAGCTTCTCGGCTTTAGGAGGTCCTATTTATTAAGTGTCTGTGCTACTGGTGTTATCTTCAGGAAGTAGTCTCCTGTACCAATTCGTTCGAGGGTACCACCTAATTTCTATTCTAAGAGGTTCAGTGTAGCTGGATTTATGTTGAGGTCTTTGATCCATTTGGACTTAAGTTTTGTGCATGATGATAGACATGGATCTATCTGCAGTCTTCTTCACACCAGCATCCAGTAATGCCAGCACCATTTGTTGAAGATGCTTTCTTTTTTCCATTGTATAACTTTAGCTTCCTTGTCAAAAATCAGGGGTTCATAGGTGTTTGGTTCAATATCAGGGTTTTAAATTCAGTTCCATTGGTCTACCTGTCTGTTTTTGTGCCAATACTAAGCTATTTTCAGAATTATAGCTCTATAATAGAGCTTGGAGTCAGGGATGGTGATGCCTCTGGATGTTCCCTTATTGTACAGGGTTGTTTTGGTTATCCTGGGCCTTTTATTTTTTCACTAAAGTTGAGACTTTTTCTTTCAAGGTCTGTGAAGAATTGTGCTGCAATTTTGATGGGGATTGCATTGAATATGTAGATTGCTTTTGGCAACATTAACATTTTTACTACATTGATCCTACCTATCCAAGAGCATGGGAGAGCTTTCCATTTTCTGGTATCATCTTTTATTTCGTTCTTTAGAGATTCAAAGTTCTTGTTATACAGGTCTTCACTTGTTTGGTTAGCTTTATCCCAAGGTATGTTATGTTGTTTGTGGCAATTGTAAAGGGTGATGTTTCTCTGATTTCTTGCTCAGCCCATTTTGCGTCTGTATGTAGTAGAGCTACTGATGTTTTTGAGCTAATCTTATATCCTGCCATTTTGCTGAAGGTGTTTATCAGGTGTAGGAGTTCCCTGGTAGAGTTTTTTGGGTCACTTATGTAAACTATCATATCATCTGCAAATAGTGAAAGTTTGACCTTTTTTTCCAATTTGTATCCCCTTGATCTCCTTTTGTTTTCTTATTGCTCTAGGTAGAACTTCAAGTACAATATTGAACAGATATGGAGAGAGTGGGCAGTCTTGTCTTTTTCCTGATTTTAGAGGAATCACATTGAGTTTCTCTCCATTTAGTTTGATGCTGGCTGTTAGTTTGCTATATATTGCTTTTATTATGTTTAGGTATGTTACTGTTATCCCAGATATGTCCAAGACCTTTATCATGAAGGGATGTTGGATTTTGTCAAAGGCTTTTTTAGCATCTAGTGAGATCGTGTAATTTTTCTTTCTCAGTTTGTTTAAATGGTTGATTGCATTGGTGGATTTTCATTTGTTGAACCATCCCTACATCCCTGGAATGAAGCTTACTTGATCATGGTGGATAGGTTTTCTGGGGTGTTCTTGGATTTGATTTGCCAGTATTTTATTGAGTATTTTTGCATCAATGTTCATGAGGGATGTTGGTCTATAGTTCTCTTTCTTAGCTGTGTCTTTGCGTGGCTTAGGTACCAAGGTTACTGAAGCCTCATAAAAAGACTTTGGCAATGACCTCTCTGCTTCTTTTGTGTGGAGAATGTTCTTTGAATTTCTGGTAGAATTCTGTACTGAAGCCATCTGACCCTGGTTTTTTTTGTTGTTGTTGTTGTTGTTAGGAAGCTTTTGATGGCTGTTTCTATTTCGTTAGGGGTTATAATTCTATTCAAATTATTTATCTGTTCTTGATTTAATTTTGGTAAGTGATTTCTATCCAGAAAAGGTCCATTTCCTTTATATTTTCAAATTTTGAGGAGTATAGTTTTCAAAAGTATGACCTAATGATTCTCTGAATTTCCTCAGTGTCCCTTGTTATTTACTCCATTTCATTTCTGATTTTGTTAATTTGCATGTTCACTCTCTGCTATTTGGTAAGTTTGGGTGAAGGTTTGTTTATCTTGCTGATTTTCTTGAAGAACCAACTCTTTATTACATTGGATCTTTTAGTTTCTACTTTATTGATTTCAGCCCTCAATTTGATTATTTCCAGGCACCTACTCCTCCTGGGTGAGTTTGCTTCTTTTTGTTCTAGAGCTTAATTCTCTACTATGACTATTCTCCAGTTTCTTCATGTGGGCATATAGTGCTATGAACATCCTCTTAGAACTGCTTTGAAGGTGTTCCATAAGTTTGGGTATGTTGTGTCTTCATTCTCATTGAATTCTAGAAGTCTTTAATTTCTTTCCTTATTTCTTCCTTGACCTAGGAATGGTGCAATTGCACATTGTTTAATTTCTATGAGTTTGTAGGGTTTCTGGAATTTGTGTTGTTGAATTCTAACTTTAAAGCATAATGGTCTGACAAGATATAGGGGGTTATTCCAATTTTTTGTACCTGTTGAAGTTTGCTATGTTGTCAAGTATGTGGTCAATTTTAGAGAAGGTTCCATGTGGCACTGTGAAGAAGGTATATTCGTTTGTATTTGGATGGAATATTCTATAGATTCTGTTAACCCAATTGGGCCATAACTTCTGCTAGTTCGTTTGTTTCTTTGTTAGGTTTCTGTCTGGTGCTCCTGTCTAGTGGTGAAAGTGGGGTGTTGAAGTCTCCCAGTATACGTATTTGACGTATTATGTGTGATTTGAGGTTTAGTAATGTTTGTTTTATGAATGTGGATGCCTTTATATTTGGGGCATAGATGTTCAAAATTGAGACTTCATCTTGATGGATTTCTCTTGTGATGAATATAAAATGACCTTCTTCATCTTTTTTTGTTGATTTTAGTTTAAAGTCTAATTTGTTAGATATTAGGATTGCTACCCTGCTTGTTTCTTGGGTCCATTTGATTGGAAAATATTTTCCTAACCCTTAACTTTGTGGTACCATCTGCTTTGAAGTTGAGATGTGTTTCTTTTACACAGCAGAAGGATGTATTCTGTCTTTGAATTCATCCTGTTAGCCTGTGTCTTATTATAGGCAAGGTAAGATCATTAATATTGAGGATATTAATGACCATTGATTGTTCATTCTTGTTTGTTTTGGGTTTGGTGATGGTGTTGGAATTGTGTGTGGACTTCCACCACTTTTTTCTTTTGCCTGTTGGTAAAGTGGGATTATCTATTGCCTATGTTTTTCTGGTTGTAATTTTCTTGGGTTGGAGTTTTCCTTCCAGAATTTTCTGTAGGGGTGGATTAATGTATATATATTGTTTAAATCTGGTTTTGTCATGGAATATCTTGTTTTCTCCTTCTATAGTGACTGAAAGCTTTGCTGAGTATACTAGTCTGGACTGGCATCCA